TGTGTGTGTGTGTGTGTGTGTGTGTGTGATGGTCCTCTTCACATGAGCAAATAGGCTATGTGCTTGGCCCGAGCTCAGGCTGAGCGGCACGGATTGTACTATGGACTGTTTTAATTAACCAGTGTATCTAGATTCTGTAGTGTATCTATATGTTTGGTTGACTGTATTTTATTCTGATAATGAAAAGGCTGCAGCGTATGCAATGCTGTAGGACTATGTGAAAGGTGCATTTCTCTCATACTGCAGTGCGGAGATGGCTAATCAGCATCGTCTACTTCATCTTTGCATAATAATAATAATAACAGCCTACAAGGAAGGAATAACTGACAACGTGCCGTTGAATTACGGAAAGAAAGAAAGAAACAAGGTACCGTCACGAAGTTCTTGTTTGGCAAAATTAATATAAGCTATTCTGTGTCTTAAGACAAGTTAAGTTAGAACAGGTTCAATAAAACATATTGTATTTCTACGGGCAGAGGATAACAGCCAGACCAAAAAGAAAAAGAAAACACAATGTAACATTCATAAAACTGTACTCGATGGAATGCACACGTGAGTGGGGCTAGTGCCATCTAGTGGTGGCTGATTTTCTGTGGTTCAGCTATAACATTTATATTCACAAATATGTCTCTATTTGAACAAAATGCTGCACATTAATATAATTCTTAACTCTGCAGACACCGGTTGAAAAGCATTTGTTTCAGTGTAGTGACGCACATTTGCAAATTTTTCAAATCGTGTACACGTTAATGAACTGCACTGGGCCTTGTTCGTTGGTAGTTGGGGGGGGGCATTTCTGCTGTAAGGGCATTAATGGTTTACAGCATTTCGTTTACTGAAATGCTGTAAACTGCGAAAATAAAGTCTCAAAATCCAAATGAACTGAACAAGATCGACTCGAACTAGACATCAATTAATGCACGCGTGTCACCTTATTCACAAATATGTCTCTATTTGAACAAAATGCTGCACATTAATATAATTCTTAACTCTGCAGACACCGGTTGAAAAGCATTTGTTTCAGTGTAGTGACGCACATTTGCGGGGGGGACCTGAAATGCTGTAAACTGTGAAAATGAAGTCTCAAAATCCAAATGAACTGAACAAGATCGACTCGAACTAGACATCAATTAATGCACGCGTGTCACCTGATCCACATATGCACAGATTCCTTTTTGCATGAGCAATTTATGATATATTAATGCAGAACAGAACATTTTTATTCGCAAACATGTCTGTATTTGTACACATCAATGCACAATCATTTAATCCAGAATTCCACAGACTCAAATTGAAAGGTATTTGTTTGTGGTTAGTAAGATACATGTATAAAATATATGCAGTACATGGCTAATTGTGCGTGCATCTATTAATCATTTTGAGTCTAATTTCATCCCATTAAAGTAGAGCTACTGAAGTGGGTGTACAGTACCACAGGCGATGGCATTTATTCAATATGATGCACAAAATCACACTATTAATAGTAGAACATGGGGTAATTTATTGTAGCTTTTATTCATTTGAAATAAGTCAGGTGGTTAGACTCTTATGTGTTTTTACTTCATTTCATAATGCTTGCTAATGACTAATGAATTAAAACTATTATAAAACATTCCCAAGTGTTCTATGGACCCTATCAGACCATATGATTAGCCTATTACTTATTAACAGAAGTCCGAGCAACAATAAAGACATGAATCTATATCATCTGATTCAAAAGAGTCAAGATCATAAGAGGCTCTTCTGTTTAACTATCAGTGCTGGACATATTAACATCTTCAATATGCAAGAAATCACATCAACAGCCCTCTAAGATGATGGGTCAAAGAGACAAGCTTCAGGTTGTCCTCATCGTCGCAAAAACCTCTGCAAAGCACAAAACACAAATGAAACTATTTCATGAGAAATACTTTACAATAGGAGGACAATTCAAGGTACATGTCATTTAAGACTAAATCAGACAGTGGATCATCGTAATGAATATAAAGGTCAAAGGCTTCTATTTTATAGTCTACCTAGGAACAATAAAACAGATATTTAAAAGACATATGAACAGGAACCACGTTTCCCATCTACCAGCTAGGCGGAAACTACTTGGCCATATGCTGCAATGTTCTTGCTGCTCAGCTTACTTTTATTAAAAGGGGAAAAAATCTTCAGCCTAGTGATTCTTTCACAGGGACAGAGGCTTTCTGTACTACTTCAAACATCATCAAATATTATAGAAAGATTATAAACACTACAATATTAAAGTTATGGGTCAATAAGTTTTTATTTTGTTTTTCTGGAAAATTAATACTTTTATAGTTTTATTCAAAAAAGGATGCACTAAATTCATCAAAACTGACAGTGAAGACTTTAACATTGTTTTACAAAATTTGAAATGCTGTTCTTTTGAACTTTGTTCATGAAAGGATCCTGAAAAATGTATCACGGTTCCCACAAAATATTAAGCAGCACAACTGTTGTCAATGTTGATGATAAGAATTGTTTCTTGAGCAAAAAAAAAATCAGTATACATTGATTTCTGAAGGATTATGTGACACTGAAGACTGGAATAATGGTTGTTGAAAATTCAGCTTTTTGCATCATAGGAATAAATTAAATTTTTAAATACTCCAAAAAAAAACAAACATTTAAATTGGAAAAATATTCCAGAATATTAGTTTTTAGCCAAAAACAAAACAACAAAATCACCAACCCCAAACTTCTCAATGGTAATGTACATACTGTATATGCATACAGTATATTATACTTTTAAAAAGCCTACTATTAAATATCCTGTAGGAAACATTATATTTAGCTCTTATTTACTACATTTACCCACTTGGAGGAACATCTCACCTGCACCACAAAGGCTGCCATTGCAGCAATCACAGCAACCTGTGCCACCTGACGCCAGCGAGCCAGATTAACTTGCTTCAAGAGTAAAACACGGGCCCAGCGTAACTTCTCCGTTGTATGGGGAGGGTAGCGCATCTGATTCACTCCCTCCATGTTCAGCTTCTTAATAAGACAGCTGCGAAGGTGACTTAGCTGATCAAAACTGTATTTGCCATGGTAGCGACCAGTTCCACTATTACCTGTTATACAATTACATAATAAATCAATGTTTTTCTGCCGATTTAGAAATCCATAAAAATGAATAAAGATACTCACCAACCCCACCAAAAGGCAAATCACTTATGGAGAAATGCACCAGACAGTCATTGGCTACAAGCGCTCCACTAGATGTCTCTGATATCATCTGTTTAATGACCTGCGAGAAAATACAAATTGTTCAATTGCGGTTTTACTGTTGGTGGAAATAATGCATCACTCTACCTTTTTACTGGAAGAGAAAATGTAGAGTGCCAGAGGCTTTTCTCGTTCGTTGATGAACTGAATTGCTTCTTTTAAGCCGTTAACAATAATGATGGGTAGAATTGGCCCAAAGATCTCTTCCTGCATCACTTTAGATCCTGGTGTCACATCCCTCAAAACAGTAGGAGCTGAAGCACAAAGGAAACAATTAACTTGTGACAGCATTGCATATTTCCTTAACTTTTGCTAAATGAGTGCATACCAATATAACACTCCGATTCATCACTGTCTCCTCCAATAGCCAATGTGCTACCCTCCGTAAGTGCCATTATCCTCTTAAAATGCCGCTGGTTAATAATTCGACCATAGTCTGCAAAGCTCTTGGGGTCATTCGTATAAAACTCCTGCATGTAAATAAATAAGACAATGAGGACAAAAAGTCACATTGTCAAAAGAGCTAAGGCATCTAAATGTAAACAAACCTGGATACATTTCTGGATCTCATTAATCACTTTGTCTTGGATGCTGGATTCACAGAGGATGTAATCAGGTGCAATGCAGGTCTGGCCGCAGTTCATATACTTCCCCCAAGTGATGCGGCTAAGGATGCAAGAACATCGGGAAGCAGCATTATACTGAGGAAGTTGGTTGATGATTATTATTTTAATTACTTCAAAGGTTCAAAACAGGTCTTGACTGCATTAGAGTTCCATATCACTTCTCAAAATGACTTCAGTTAAATCAAAGGTCCTCACAGCTTATTACAGCAAAAAAACAACACCCACAAAAACACTGACCGAGCAAATAAATATAACAAGCAATAGGATAAAATTACAAAATATTACGTTTTTTCCCACAGAAATTCAATTTTATTGAAATCACGCTTTCTTTCTCCCACTCTCTCTCCCATACAAACACACACACGTACAGTACAGACACAAAGTGCATTCCATTTGACCATAAGTGGACTTCGAAGTTGACTTAGCAAGGTACAGGTATTCTGCCAATTTAAGCGAGATTCCAATCCGAAGGGAGCATCAATAGGGGAACATCAATACATCACTTTACAGGAAGTGGAGTGGGAAATTTACCCACCAGTTATTGCGCATTAGTCCAGTACTTAAAGAAGTTTGAATAAAACAAAGGCACTGACATTAATATTGAGTTAATTAGTACCATGTGTGATTTGTAAAAGGCTGTTCGCAGGGATAAAATGTGCAAGATGCGACTGTTAAAAATGCTAATATCATGTTTACGTTGTGGCCAGATAACCAACTTGGGTGAACTTTTTTTTTCTCTTCTAATAATTCAATGACCAGTCGTCAATTATTCCCTACATATATCATTATACTTTTATATGTTAGATTATTTTTAGGTTTATATAACTTATGGCAGACTCACCGGCAGGCAATTCTGATGTCACAATTTTTGTCAATATAACAAGGGCTTTTTCCACCCAGTTCTAAAGTCACTGGTGTGAGATGACGAGCTGCAGCTTCCATAACCAGTTTCCCAACCGTGCTGCTCCCAGTGTAGAAGATGTGGTCGAAACGCTGCTTCAGCAGCTCCTGGGTCTCTGGAACCCCTCCTGTCACCACTTGATACATCTCCTGAACACAGAAATGGTGATGGTAGAATTAAAGGTATAGTTCACCCAAAAATGAAAATTCTGTCATTAATTACTCATCCTCATGTCGTTCCAAACATGTAAGACCTTCGTTCATCTTCAGAACACAAATGAAGATATTTTTGATGAGATCCGAGAGCTTTCTGACCCTCCCATAGACAGCAATGCAACTACCACGTTCAAGACCCAGAA